ATAGAAGCTGATCAACCCGCCCTTATTTCAGCAGCTCCTGGAAATTCTGGCATGGTCCATTTTAATCGGCTACTCCAGATTATTTTTCCCAGGGATTTTTCTGCCACCAGACTCTCATTCCGTACCTGAATGCAGTCACGTAATAGCCAAGATAGACGGTGCGCAGAGGGCACGTGGAACAGTTATATATTGAGTTATACTGCAAAAAGAAAAAAAGGGGGGGAAGAAGGGGGTGATGGATTAGCGCTGGAGTGAATTTGTTGAGATTCATCATCATTGTTTTAGAACTGCAGAGCAGGAAGGGATCTTATACATCATCCAGTCCAGCCCCGGTCAAGGAGGCACAGTGGGGGATTCGAACTCCCAACCTTTGGTTAAACCAGCAATGTAGAAAGAGGTGAGCAAAATGGCCAGAATCTATTTCTCCTCACCCTCTTTACTGTCCCATGTTACAAGGTTTTCTCTTTTTTAACAAACAGTTTTCCTTTCTCCCATGTAGACATACACGAGCATGATTTTGCATGCATCTCTCTCTCTCTCTCTCTCTCTCTCTCTCACACACACACACACACACACACACATCCCAGTCTGCCAGCCATGGCATAAAGAGTTAACAAGTTACGGGAAGTAGCTTGTTTTCTTCCTCTTCTCCTTAATCATCTTCATCACAATCTTAGAACAGCATCGTTGGAAGGGACCCCTAAATCATCACATCCAGCTCCTGTCCAGGAGGCACAATGGAAGAATTGAACTCCCAGCCTCGGGCTCCGCAGCCAGATGCCGCAACCACTGAGCTGGCCTATAAGAACTGCTGATCATAGAAGGGACCCTACAGATCATTCAGTCCAGCCCCTTTCAAGAAGGCCCGGTTCCAAGGATGGTGATGAGACCCTCAGTGTATCACATCTACCCTATGAGTGGCCCCTTTCTTGTGCCAGCTCTCACCAGGACACCACACCGACTCCACGTTCCCCTTCGATTCTTTCCGAGATCTTGGCTGAAATCCTGTCGTACCGCTAGGCAAATGACGTACCTTTAAGAGGTGAATTACGTCAACTTCAGAAATCTCCGCAGCCATTATCAGTTGCATGCAGAGTTGTGCAATCCAGGGAATGCCTATGGAGATTTCTTCCACTCCCAAAAGTATGCCTTCGCCATACCGCAACAGGATTTCAGCTGATTTATATATTTTGGAAAATCTCTGCGCTCTAACTTCCTGGGCTTTTAATTGTATTGACAATTAGAGGGAAAAAACTGCTAGAAGCTTGGGAAAGCTACCCTAGAGGGCTAGAATCCCTCAGCCTGCAGGAGGAACAATAGCGCAGAACAAGCCAATGTGGGAACTGAGTGTTGGAACACCTGAGTTCAAATCCTCCCGCTTGGTGATGAGCGCTTTGAGTGCACAGACGCCACTCTCCCTCTGGACTGGTCTACTTTACAGGGATGTTGGGTGATAAAATGGGTAGATGGAGAACCACACAGATCCTCCTTGGAGCTCTCTGGTGGGAAACCAAAAAGTTTTGTGGGAAATGACAGCTCTCGTACACCTCGGAAGTAACATGAAGGCTCTGGCACTCACCACTTGCCCAATTGAATTATCCAAATTTTTGAATTGTTGGCTGTTCCGATCCGACAGAGCCGAACTGTAATTTCTGTTCGTTATGCGGAAAGTCAGGAGGACAAGCACCGACACAGTGCTGGTGGTTGCCGTTGTGGGTTCTGATGTGTGTTGGCTTGATGTTGACAGAGTGGTGCTGTGGGTGGTTCCAGAAGAGGTGGTCGTCTCCATCGTGGTTCCGGAGACGGTGGAGGTGGTTGAGCTGGTGACGGTGGGCGAGGTGGTTGTCTCCATCGTGTTTCTGGAGGCGGTGGAGTTGGTGACGGTGGGCGAGGCCGTGGTCTGCGTTGTCCCGGTGGAGGCGGTGGTGGAGGGAGGCACAACGGTAGAATGCCCTGAATGAATTGTGAACATCACTGTTAATAACCTATCCAGACAATACTTTCTCCATCATGGGTGGATTAAATTACAGTGGTGCCCCGCATAGTGACAATAATCCGTTCCAGGAAAATTGTTGCTATCCGGAATCGTTGCTATATGGAACAAAAAACCCCATAGGAACGCATTAAACCCTGTTTAATGTGTTCCTATGGGGAAAAAACTCACCGCTATGCGAAAATCCTCCATCCGGCTGCCATTTTCGCTGCCCAGTAAGCGAGGAAAGGGCGCAAAAACGCTGCGGGTGGCCATTTTTTCCCCAGTGGCCATTTTAGAACCACCGATCAGCTGTTTTCTAAACATCGCAATGCGAAAATTGGTATGCGAAACGCTTACCGATCATCGCAATGTAATATTTAGCCATTAAAAACATCGCAACGCGATCGCTTTTGCGATCGCAGAATCTGCATCGCTATGCGGATTCATCGTTAAACGGAGTGCTCGCTATGCGGGGCACCACTCTACTCAGCCCCACCTTAATCAACCAATCTTTTACCTGCAATATCAGTCAAATTCAAGCCGTGGGTTGCGTTGTTTGAGGCATTTTTCATCGGTTCTTCTACTTCTTGCACAAAATTGGGCTTGGAAGTCTCATTGTTATTCCGGAAATTTATTTCTGAGTCCACCACCACGGATCCTGGCCTTTACATTCGACAGAAAAAGAGAACAGTAAAGAGCATTAAATGAATTGGAAGACCCACGAACAGCCCAGGGAGGCTCATAGCTTAGTCACCAAACTGTGGCATTCCATGCAGAAAGCCCCGAATTCGGTTCCTAGGATGACCAAGAGATATTTTGCAGGACTCAAAGCCTACCGGCTGTTTCCTGTTCTTGGAATAAGAACATGAAATAGCCAGAAGGATTTCAGACTCACAACTTTGTGGTACAGAAGTTGCTTCAGGTCAAGAAATTCTAAGTTTCAGTGGCCATCTTTCTCAAGTTCCGACGGAAATATATGTTCTATTTAAGTTTGGCGGGCAGAAACAACCAGAATGTAAATGTCTGTTTACCATATCTTTCCGTGTATAAGATGCCCCCATGTATAAGACGTGCACCATTTTTCTAACCAAAAATTAAGAAATCTAAGTGGGGCTTAGCAAGTGTAGTGGGAAAGGGATCAAAGTGCAGTAGGATTGCTATAATCCCTGATTTCTCCCTTCGTGCTAAGCCCCGCGGGGCTTAGCAAAAGGAGGGGGAAAGGGATCAAAGCAGTCCTGCAACTGCATTATCGTTTTGATCCCTTCCCTCTTATACAGCCAAGGGATTGCTTTGATTCTTTCCCCCCTCCTTTTGTTAAGCCTCATGGGACTTAGCAAGCAGAGGAGAAAGCAGGGATCAAAGTGCTGCAGGATTGCTTTGATCCCTGCTTTCCCCTCCACTTGTTTTTGTTATCTCCTCAGCTTACTTCTGTATATAAGACGACACTCAATTTTTAGTCTAAAAATTTAGAAAAAAGTCTAGTCTTCTACACGGAAAAATACGGTAAATGTCAAGTCTCTAGTCCTCACTGCTGTCCCCCTAAAAATAATGCACTCACAGAGGGCTATGACTCAGTTGGGGACAAAATTATAATAAAGCTCTAATTAAAGCATTCAAAACCATCCATTAAAAGGCCATGGCCAGAATCTTATTTTGAAATGCACTTGTAAGAAGAAATTCAGATGGTTTCCTGGGCATCTCTTCTGCTGTCAAACATGTAACTGAGTACAGGATCCAGATATGTCCACAGGTGCACAACAGACAATCAGAATGATCAACACACATTTTCATAGTTTGAGGCCGATGCTGTGCCAAGCTGATTGGATCCTGAACGCCTCATTTGAAACACACACCCAGCGTCCACTGATCAATATTAAAATTAAGAATAGATAACGGTCTTTGCTCTGTTAAAGCAACATAGAAGCTGATCAACCCGCCCTTATTTCTGCGGCTCCCGGAAATTCTGGCCTGGTCCAGCTTCGTCGGCTACTCCAGATCATTTTTTCCCAGGGATTTTTCTGTCGCCTGACTCTCATTCCATACCTGAATGCAATCACGGTATAGCCAAGATAGACGGTGCGCAGCCGGCAGGTGGAACAGTTATATATTGAGTTATACTGCAAAAAGAAAAAAGGGGGAAAGAAGAGGAGGTGATGGATTAGAGCTAGAGTGAATTTGCTGAGATTCATCATGATCACCATTATTTTAGAACTGCAGAGCAGGAAGGGATCTTATACATCATCCAGGCCAGCCCCTGTCAAGGAGGCACAGCGCCGGATTCGAACTCCCAACCTCTGGTTAAACCAGCAGCATAGAAAGAGGTGAGCAAAATGGTCAGAAGCTGTTTGTCCTCACCCTCTTTACTATCCAGTGTTACAAGGTTTTTTTAACAAACTGTTTTCTTCCATGTAGACATACACAGGTATGATTTTGCATGCACCTCTCTCTCTCTCTCTCCCAAGGGTTTGGGACCAGTGTTATAGATCATTATGTCCAGCTCCTTTCAAGAAGACCCAGTTCCAGGGATGGCCAGCTCTCACAAGGACACCAAAGTGACTCGATTCTTTCCGAGACCTTGGCTGAAATCCTGTCGTACTGCTAGGCAAATGACGTACCTTTAAGAGGTGAATTACGTCAACTTCAGAAATCTCCGCAGCCATTATCAGTTGCATGCAGAGTTGTGCAATCCAGGGAATGCCTATGGAGATTTCTTCCACTCCCAAAAGTATGCCTTCGCCATACCGCAACAGGATTTCAGCTGATTTATGTATTTTGGAAAATCTCGGTGCTCTAACATCCTGGGCTTTCAATTCCTGTCTTGACAATTAGAGGGGATAAACTGCTAGAAGCTACCCAAGAGGTCTAGAGGTCCCAGAATCCCTTCAGCCCGCAGGAAGAACAATAGCATTGACAGAGCTTATAGGGTGTAAACTGAGTGTTGGAACACCTGAGTTCAAATCCTCCCGCTTGGTGATGAGAGCTTTGGGCACGCAATCGCTCTCCCTCTTGACTGGTCTACCTTACAGGGATGTTGGGTGATAAAATGGGTAGATGGAGAACCACACAGATCCTCCTTGGAGCTCTCTGGTGGGAAACCAGGAAAGTTTGTGGGGAATGACCGCTCTCGTACACCTCAGAAGTAACATGAAGACTCAGGCACTTACCACATCCCCAATTAAATTATTTAGATCTTTGAATTCTGTGCTGTTCCGATGCGACAAATCAGAACTGTAATTTCTGTTCGTTATGCGGAAAGTCAGGAGGACAAGCACCGACACAGTGCTGGTGGTTGCCGTTGTGGGTTCTGATGTGTGTTGGCTTGATGTTGACAGAGCGGTGCTGTGGGTGGTAAGTTCGGGAGCGGTTCCCGGGGAGGTGTGAACAGTGCCAGAGGAGAAGGTTGTCTCTGTCCCGTTTCTGGAGACGGCGGTGGCAGTGAAGTCGGTGGCGGTGGGCGAGGAGGCCGACTCCGTCGTCCCTGTGGGGGTGGCGT